CAATTAGTGGTTGTTTGGAATAACTTAAAAATTTATTAAAAAGTTAAAGTCAAAATCAACAATTAATCTTAACAACATATTTCATGTAATCCACAACTTTTATCAACGTTTCAACTATTCATTTTACTAACTTTGATAAAAATCTATTAAAACTTTTGTTAAAAACTTTGCCAAACAAACCCTTAACAATATTCAATTGCTTTGCTTTCTCCCATTAAGAATGTACTATATAATAGAAAGAAGGGAAAAAAAGGATAGGAACCTCTGTAATTTGATAACATAATATTAGGACAACACTTCAATTTGTTGAGATTTTAGAGTCGATACTCGATTTATGAGTATTGAATCGATAGTTCGTTTGAGTTTTAAACAGATCTTGATCGTTTGAGTTTTTGGGTCTTTGAATTCTTATGAAGATTTACGGTTTCAATTAAAAGATCAACCTTATTAACATGAATAATCTAGATTAATTCTTATATTTCAATTAGTGTTTATATATTTAACTGGGGTGGGATTGTACCTTCACTAGGGGGACATATTTAAAATGGGAAAATAATTTCATATTTAGTAATATAATAACCTCTATTATATAAATAATTTTTACGGTCCTGACTTGGGTAAGAGGCTAAATTAATAATTTTGATAAATTAATTTAAAAAAATACTTTTCTGAAAATCCTTACATAATTATGTACCATTCATATAATAAATTAATAATATATTTAATTACAATATCATTGACTATGATATTTTAGTAAAGTATGATTCATAGTCAATTATATTGTAATTAAATATATTGTTTATTCTTGAAGTTTAAATCTAGTTGGATCTCATCTCCAATTTTTCTTATCACATGTAGAAGTTTTGGATTGAATTCTTGAATTTCAATAAAAAAATTACGTAAGTCCACCGGTCTTTTTGGAAAATTTATAAATGATTTATAAAGAGGAATAATATTGAGTTTTATGAAATATGTAAATATTAAATGAATAGTAATTGTAAACGTATGGTTACAATTAATATTAATTTTGACTGAATTTATAAATTGGTTGCTAAACGGATGCTAATATAATGCAATCAGACGAACGAGTAAAATTTGAGCGGCCCCACCCAAGAGATTCCACCATATCCAACTGTAGAATTGGAGAATTTGTTTGTTCGACCTTTTAGAATATCGAATTTTTGTCTTTGAAAGGGACAACCACGAATAGTCTTTGTATAGCATATGGCTTAATCATTCATCTAAAAGTCACAAGCATCTTTCAAAAGTTGCAATTAGCGAGACCATACCATATGGTGATATCATTGAGATGAAGCATGATTATAAGTAATTTTTTCTCCTTATCAAAACTTGAAGGAAAATTACTTCTTTCGAACTCGAGTCTTCTCCAAAACATCACATATACACGTGCAAAGTGTTGAGGGATAAATCTTACATTGAATAAAGATGAAAATATATACCAACATATAAGGGTTTGAGCTACTATTTTTTAATAAAGTTGATATTTTAAGATAGAATCGCGAGTCTTGATATAATATTAGTGTCCATTAAGTTCCAACGAGCAATTCAAATCGATAAAGACTAAAAAATGAGCACACGAATATCAAGATTGGTCTGCTCATATGAACCACTATTTTGCGAGGCATGTCAATGTATAAATTCTATACCGAATGAAGATAAAAAATATAAATCAATATATAAGAGTTTTGATTACGTTTCTTAATAAGGTTTAACTTTTAACATGGAACCTAGTCTCCCCAAGTCTTAATACAAAGTATGTATGATCAGGACACGCTGTTCAAGATTATCTTCTCAAAAACACGCACTCTACATATATAAATCTCGCACAATATCATAGTATAACCCTTTATATTTTCTACATCAATTCTTTTCTTATAAAAAATAATCAACCTTGTATAAATGTATATATGATGTACACATATATGTATGCATGTTTATATTATAATTCCTTTCTATTTTCATAAATATTCATTAATTCACCTGAGAATTATCTCCTTCCTGGAACAAAGCATCTTATGACAAATTCAGTTGGCCAAGTCAATGTAAACTTGTATGCCCTAATTCCAAAAATCTTCTTTCTCTTTGCAGCAACTGCAGCCATGGTTGTCTCCCTAACCCCTCCCAAAAACCTCTTTATCTTCTCCTTCAACCTGTTGCCTTCACTAAGCTGATAACTGCTGAGAAATTCCCTTCTTGCTTGCAAATATTCTCGATCCCGACCGTGAAAATTTCGATAATTATCAGATCCCATGGATAGTGAAACAACAGAAGCATGTACTTTTTGGGTGCCATTTTTCTTTCTCCAAAAGGCCATTGAATATAATTATTGGCTTTGCATGCAAATGAATAGGTTTTATGTGGAAGAAATTTTATTTGTTACAAGTTTGTTGAACTGTGATGGAAATTGTGCGTTCAAGTAAGGTTGGTAGCTAGCTTTGGTTACACCCATGGTGTGGATGATGATATCATGTAAATAGCTTATTGGACACTACTTACTCCGGTTGGTAATTTGGTATATTTATTCCCACTTCTTGCAAATTTTAATATTTGTATCTACTTTACCATTCAATGTATGGGTAAATTTCATCGAATGTCATTAAACGTCAATTTATTTCAATTGGGTCATTGAACTTTAATTTAAATCAAATTTCATCACTCCGTCGCATTCCATTACCTATTGTTCCCCAAATTTTAATATTTGTATCTACTTTACCATTCAATGTATGGGTAAATTTCATCGAATTTCATTAAACGTTAATTTATTTCAATTGGGTCATTGAACTTTAATTTAAGTCAAATTTCATCACTCCGTCGCATTCCATTACCTATTGTTCCCCAAATTGACAAGAATTGATTAGTTAATAGTTATATCATAACTAATCTACCACCTAAATGGTACTTGACATCCTAAAAACAAGGGTTATAAAAATGTTTTTAGATTAAAAAGTTAAAGACGCGTTTCATTTTATGATGTGAAGTAGTGGTAACTGGCATGTCACGCAATTATTACGTGGAAGATCCATCGCGATGTGCTTCCAATTAAGCAATCTTCACGAACTTTTGGAGACAGCGTGCGATGAAGTGGTGAAAGTTAAAATTAAATTTTATTTCAGTGATCAATTTGAAAATTAAATTGAATTTTAGCGATCCAATTGAGACAAATCAAAGTTTAGTAAGTCGATTGTAACATTGTTCTCCATGTACCGAATAGTGTAATAAAGTAGAATCTTTATAAATGATTAAATGGGTCCTTACCTTTATCATTTTTTTTCGACAAATCTTTCTCAAATATATTTAATTCAATATTCTTAACTATCTTAAAGATTTATAAGCACAAAGAAGAGAACTAACCTAGACTCTCGTCACGTACCCTCTCACTATTCCGACAAATCAATTCTAGAAACAAGTATATTTTCCCCGGGTTTAACCCTCTTTCGTTGTTTTTCAAGTCTAACATTTTATTTTCTCCAAAATAAAATAAGTTTGTTTGCTCTATTATAAAAATAAAATTTTTTTGACTCTTTGAAGGAATTTACACAAACAAAATGTACAAAATCGAAAAATTAAAAACATTTCTTTCAAGAAAAGAAAAAAAATTAAACTAAAAAGATGTAAAAATGTTAATGGTGGAGGTCTTTTTGCCAAGGAATGAAGCAAAGAGGAACAAAATGTAAAAAAAACATTGCTTCAGGTTACCCCCAATCTGGTGCAATTTTCATTGTACCTTATATAAACCTATAGAAGAAAAGGCAAATTTGTTCAAATTGAATCAGAAATATGGAAAATTCTAAGTGTACAGAAAAAAATTACGAGAACATTACCAGACTCTCACATGGGGTGTGGGCCCCATGTGAATTAAATAATGTCCAAAAAATGGGGCCCACCCCCAATGTGAGTATCTGTAGCATTTCTGTAAAAAAAAATTTCTGATAATGTAGCATTACTCTTAATTAAATGAGAAACAAAAAATTGATATATTGTATGCGTTTTTTATGCATCTTATTTACAGTGTGTTTGATGCACATTTTTTAGAAGAGAATGCATTTTTTTTGTGATGTGATGGTGAATATGTGGTTGAAAAAAAAGAAAAGTTATTGATGTAATGAAAAATATTATTTTATTAAAAACGTGTAGTCCACTTCATCTATTCTATCCACTTTATTAGCCCCCGATAATCATTATTTCAATTTTTTTTTCTATATACTCATTTTTAATCAAATATTCACAAGTTAAAATAATCTGCACATAAACCAAATTTTTTTTCCTAATTTTTAATTACACATTCTCGTAAAAATTTCTATTCAAAACTCTATTTTCTACAAATGGTTGTCAAACATGGGCTTAATGGTGAGTGATGGAGCGACGGATAATATAATGAATTGATAAATTCAGTGGTTAGTCAATTGGTTTATAGTTCAGTGGTCAATGAGAACATTGTGGAAAATATAATTATCAAATAATGCATTTAACCTCATGTTCGTCAAATCTTAATAATATTAAACTACAGAAATGATCTAATGA